GATATCTCAGGGAATCCCGCGGGTCTTCCCCCCCCCCCCCCGACCGACCGACAATGTAACGTTGCTGTTCCTCTTACACCGATTGGCCGTGAGATCTTTGCACGCTCGCAACAAATAAAAACATCTAAAGCGAGTGTTCGAGAACGAACGTACATACGCAACGCGATGTAATATCGCGACTGCCCGAAATCACCTCGTCGAACGAGCGATTTTGAGAAACCGGCTGCTTTTTCAATTCCGGGAAACTACGCTGCACGTGCAGCGCGATCGATATCTCGGCGAGTTTCGCGAACTCCCGACGATGTACGAAACAAGTGCCGTTCAGGCTGCGTCTAACTCTATACGACACGTTATTCCACAACTAAAAGTATATGTATTTTTCCCTCAACGAAAAGAATATCGAAGACACTATTTATTTTATAAGCGAATGCAAAGAATTTTTGACTTTGACGATAGAAAGATACGATAAAGCTTTATATTCCTCGATTAATTTTCCGCTGATTTTACTTCTCAATCGAATATTAATTTAGATATTAATTATAAATATATGTACGACGATGCGAAATTTATCGCATCGTTAAGATTTTCGTTGCAGAAATCGTACGACGGTCGTACTTATCGTGCACGCGTGCATTATCGCAATTTTTCACTAGAAAATTTTCGCATTTTGACAAAGGTCGCAGGTCACATCGCGCTCATCATCTACCGTCATTATACACGCAATGCGCAAATTATACAAGCTAGACACATTCGAGATGCGACAATTCGCATTTCACGTACGTAAATGTTCTTTCACGCGCGAGCGTTTGACCCCGACCGCAACGAGAAGGTCAAAGATCACTAACCACAACCGTACTCCCAAACGAATCTAACCGGCACTGCCGGTGGCCGGCTTGCTTAAAAGGCCGGCGGTAGTGAATGAATGACGAGCGAACAGTGTGAATGTATACCTGCGAACCCTCGGTCCTTTGTCCCTTAAAGAGGGCAATAAATAGAAACATTCGACAACAGTCAACTAGCGAAAGCCGGGGTACGGATGTCAGTATTCTATAGCGTATTAGTGACATTTGTTGGCACGTGGCACTGTATTGTCGTGCAGTAGCCTAATTTGACACGCTTAATTTACGTCAGATCAATTTCTTTTAATGCGTGCATAGAAAAGAATTACTAAATTATTTTGTATATTTGATATTTCTAGAAAGAAACCAATCGAAAAATACAATTGGCACAAATATGTTATACATTTGAAAGTTAATTATTTTAAACTCTTGTTTACGAAATAACGATAGCGACAGATATAAACAAAAGTGTTGTACTGTACATACTTTAATATACAAAAAATTGTATAAAATTTCAATCTAAAAATACATATAAAATATATACGATTTATTATTATTATTATTATTTCAAATATTTCTTATAAAAGTTAAGCGCCAACAAAGTCATTAATATAACTAGAGAAGATTTCGACCGTTCGATCTGTGTTTCTCGATATATATAAGTAGGGTAAATACGTGCAGTACCCTTACCTGTTGCCAGTGATCCTCGAGCGATGGCTGGGCTGAGAAATATCCGGTGTCGTGTATGTCCTGCAGCTCTCGAAATATATTACCGCTCGGTAGGAGCGTATCCATGGCTACGCGCGACTACGAAATCCCTCCGCTTCGGCCTCCTCTCGCAGGTGCCGCACGGGACGCGGCGGTCAAGCGCCGAGCAAAGAGCAAATCCAATCAACCAACTGGCCAACCCAACCAACGAACCAACAAGTGACAAACTGACACGGCGAGCCCCGGCGCGACGCTCGCTCGTAACGCTCGCGACACGATAATAAATCAACTCGATTCACTCCGTGGAACGCGCTGCGTGAACGTGTACGCGTACGCGTCCGCTACGTAACGGCTACTCGCGACGACTCGCACGCACGTACGCACGTAAATATAGCAGGTAGCGGTTAGCGCACGTGCGTATCATCAATGAGAGGTTTTCCCCCTCTACCGTAGACGCGAGATAGGACGCGGCGACGAGACGATAACGTCTTCACTCCGCGGACGACTGTTCCGATCGCGGTTGTGGAAGGACGGTTATGAGAGAGCGGACGATTATCGAACAAGCCGATTTCCGTTATACTCGCGAAGTCGCGCACACAACACGTCGAAAGATGGATGGATGGCTCTCTCTCTCTCTCTCTCTCTCTCGCTCTCCCTCTTTGTCGCGCGCGCACACACAAAGTCGAAGACAAAATTGCGTTGTCGTTACTGTTGCTGTTGTCGTTGCTGTACCATCGCCGGAGAAAATACGCGATTGAACGCAAAAATTCACTGCGACGACGACATCACTCGTGCTGCTCGACGCTCTGTCTGCTGGCGTCGCGTGCACGGTTCGCTTACGACAGTATCCATCACACACGGAAAGAGGAGAAACGCGGGAAAAGAAGCGGCGTGAAGCAACGTCAAAATGCCGGCTCGAATCGTCGTTCTTGTTATTGCGTTCCGGGTCTCACTTTTATATAGCCGTACGATATTTTGATGCGTATAACTTTTGCCAAACAACCCCGTGCTTTCACCAACGGGAAACACACGCGACCGTCTCTCCTTCTCTCTCTCTCTCTCTCTCTCTCTCCCCCTTTATCCTCTCTGTCGTTCCGTCACGTACCGGCGCTTCTCTCTCGCGTGTGCCAAGAGACGGATGCCGGTCTCTCTCTTCGCCTGGTCGTATCACTACAACGAGATCGCGATAGTCACGCACGATCGCTCCGGACTGCACGTCACCGAGTAAAGAACCACGGGATAACACTTACGAGATATATACTCCGTAAGGGACCGGCGAAATCCCCAACCGCTAATGCGCACGGACCTCCTCTGCACGAGTGCCGAAGAGTAACTGACGTTCCTCTCGCCGTAACTGAGCGCGAGACAATCCGAGTACGGCCGAACATAGCCGAGCGCGCACGATTCGGCGCGACGCGCTACCGCTCTCGGCGGCCGCGCGACGCCGTGGCAGCACCATTCGATGACGTCGTGACGCCGGTCGTATATTGTGCGCAGGAATGAGACGCCGACGCTACGCACGATAAACCAAAACAAAGTTTATTTATACAAGGACTCGTATCGACGAAGTTATTCCATACGCTGTCTCGTAGAAGATCGTAACGATGATTCTTGAACTTTCAATGGTGAGTAAGAGAAAAGATTGATTTACGTGGCGATATAATTACGTGTGTATGAATATGATTCAGTAACCTAATCTGCTTATTTCAAGCGGTACAAAATATGTCGTTAATAAGATATTTCGAAATACGCAAATTTCCAGAAATGCATTAATGTACGCAGATAATGTGTTTCTTTCGTCAATAATTAAATGAAATGAGGTTTGTATCGTAAATTTCAGGATACTTCTTTTACGTTTAAATATTTCAATTATTTTTGTTTTTTGAAAAATATATATGTTTTTACGTATGGAAAGATATCATATACATACATACATGCAAAATTCTCGATATTTCGTATGTTATAGAATTATTTAATTTCGATATTTTCAACAATTTCATAATTTTACGATAACAGTATAATATTTTTGAAATAACTTTATTGAGTATGCGGAATTTTAGCTTATAAGATAAATAAAGAATGGCTCGTGAAAATTCAAATTTGTAAATTAAAAATATTAGAGTACATACACAATTAAATACTACGTTGAAAAAAATATATTTTACACATTTTTTTTCTTTAGTGAAAAAAACAAAAAAAATTTGCAGCAATATATGCGCAAAATCTTGCGTAATTTGTTCTTTAATTGCACAATTTTGCAACAATTGCATTGAGTCGGACATTATTTCAATTACGGCATTATAATTATTACCTTCGCCAACCGATATTATGTTCCGTTTGAATTACGCATATAGACAATGCGCTTTAGATTCCCATTCAAACAATAATAGAGAAAAGGTCGTCTTTAATTTATGCGTCTCTTACTTTTACACCGCGATCACAATCAACTATTCAGGATTCTAGTTTAAACTTCGCGTGTCGAAGAGAGATTTGTATCTAGTGTATTATTCATCACACACACAGAGAAAAACAAACTCTGCTAGAAAAATGTTGCAAAACTTATATTAATTTCGAAGGCAGAAAAACATAACTTTGCAATAAAAACTATAATTCATATATATCTCATTTTTTATTTATTTATTTATTTTTTTAATCAATCTGGATAATATATTTCAAATATATGTCATCAAATATAAATAATTTATACGTGTAATATTAAAGTTATTATTACATGATATTAAATTAGCTATTGAACGCTAGTGAACGTTAATAAAAAATAAAATTCCAATAAATTTAAATTAAATTTTGTAAAAAATAAATGAACCTTATTTTTGTTAGTAACGAGTGCATTTAACATTTATTCTATGCACTTATTGTATTTATATTTGCAACTTTCTTATTATGAGATTATTTTTTTAAATATAATTTCTAATAATGTATGCAGGAGGGAATTAAACATAAATTTATTAATTCTTGCGTACAACAGCTTCGTAAATCTATCTTCTAAGCTGATCCTGGTCAAAAAGGTTTGCATAACATTTAGATTTAACCGAGAGAAACGGTGTTCGCGTTCTGCGAATCGACTACGAGAAATGCACAAGCACGGAGCGGCGAATTATTTGCAAATGAATAATCGCTCGTGAGTCAACCGAGAGAGAAACGAGAGAGACGAACGACTTGTGTCGCCGTACATGATTCATGAATTTTGCGCGTTCGTTAAAGCCTTTCTGTAGACGCTGGTACAACGCAGAGGAATGCCAGATTAGATACGTAAGCAACGTTTATGGCGAATGGAATTAGAAGACTGACCGCGCTTATCGGACCCGTACCTTGTTTCCGTTCGAGCTATCGCTTGTTGGAGCCTGGCCGCGCAATTCGAAAAATATTTTTTTAATCGGTTATTGTACTCGAATTGCTTTGTTTGCGTGCTTGACGTTTCTGTCGCACTACACAATCGTTCTGTGAAGTACAGTCTCGATCATAACAATGGCTTGGGATCAATAGCGTCGTCTCGATCAATGATATTGTTGACGATATTTTTAGAAGTGGCATTTTTTATAAAATTTTGAATAGGCCTTTTAATCGCGTGTCTTACAATTAGTCATAAAAGATAGAAATATCGAAATATAATTACACGTAATATTTTTTCCTATTTTTTAAAATCCGTAATTAGCAGATTACAATGCATCAAATATATACGTTCCAAGTTATTTTAAGGAGAGAAAGATGCTTTCTCAAACACATTTATCTCGAAATTGTTCTATGTCTGGGGGGGGGGAGGAGGGGGAGGGAGTACTGCAGATATTATCTGTTAAATTGCGAGCAGAATATATAGCACTGCGTTGGAACCTGACCTCATGTAACCTCTCAACTTTGGCTGCGTGTTTCTCGGATACATTCGCCGTTCAGTAGGTTAAGACGCCCGGCACCATAAACATGTTGGCCGCAGTTGGACCGAAGCCCAACCCTCGAAAAGCTTTCTTGTAACGGGATACAGTAGTACGTCGATTCTTGCCGCGAAACGAGGGATGGTTGTTAGACACAAAATCTTCTCCCCCTTACCCCTCTCTCTTTCTCTCTCTCTCTCTCTCTCTCTCTCGTGTGCGCGCTCGCTGCGCGCATGTTCCAATAAAATGATTCGACTGGTCATTCGGGGCCATTAACATATTAATTCAATTATTCAGTTTAGAACGTTATATTACGTTGATCGATGTTTGTAAACTGTATTGCATTTCTAGCATGAAATGCTACGAGCATATTTAAATAATTTAGCAGAATGAAACGAGACGAGTTTCAACTCTTCACTGATCCGAGTTTTATAGTTAGGAATAAAGTGATATAATAATCCAATACAAAATATCGCGAGCGTGCGGGAAATCGGCGCAAAAAAAAATTGTTCCTCTTAATATCATACAAATCTGTTATAAATATTCCGCTACTGTGTAGAAATTTTTATATACTATTACAATACTTTATGTGGCATTATATTAATTGCAAAATTAATAAGCATAATATATTCTTTATAAATCCCAATCGTATTTATGTTGTTTTAAATAATTAAATAATAATATTGCTGCTGACATATTATTATTTATAACCATAATAAATAACTGTTATTTCATAATATTTGCAATATAAAAAATGCATAAAAATCGAATTCGAAATGATGATCAATACTTTGAAAGCTTGTATTACTGGTCACGATATTCAATAACATCAACACAGTTATAAAATACCTTGTTGAAAGTGTTATGCTTAACAAGACTTATGTCGTTCCTATGTTTTTCTGTAACACAAGTTTTTCTCATTCTATTGTATCATTATCCGCATCTAACAAACAAAGATTAATAACAATGGACGGCACGTCGCCGATATTTAGTACACGTTTCTTTTCTAAGTCTCGCCAGCAGTTTCGACGATCCGTGCCTAGAGCGCAAGAAACGCGCTAAGAATGACGTAATCTCGGTTGCATAATGCTATGGCAAATGGTCGCTGCATATGCGTTCATAGTGCCACTATTCGTGTCAACTATTATTCTTTGAACGACCCTCGGCGCGGCGTCATTGGCCACGCTGCTCATTCGCGTATCCTTGAAACTGGAATTTATGGGACGAGGCCGTATATAGACGCTTATGTGGTCTAGCGTCTAGGATTTCTTTCGATAACGTCGCGTCGACGATTTCGCGAGATAGTAAGCGGTATTAGCCGAGCGAAGCGTATCGAAGGCGCTCGCATCTCCGTCATTGCCGGAAGTGACGGCGATTATTATTATTAACGGCTCCCAACGAAGAGATCCTTAATCTCGTAATCCTATCGTGCACGCCAGATGACTCTCTGGTAAGTCGTGCTGAAAATTTGCACTACAGATTAAACCGACAAAACGCACAGCGACGAAGATGACGACGACTACGACGTATCTAAGCCTCTGAGAATGGTTCTTGATATTTCTCACGATGAAAAAAAATATCTCGTGATTACGGAGAAAATATTGAAGATACAATAATACAAAAATAAAAGATTACAAAATTAGAAGTTACATATATCATTATTTTTAATATATCGTTTCTGTAGATAAGTGTTATGTCATATTTAGTTTTTTTAATCAATCTGGATAATATATTTCAAATATATGTCATCAAATATAAATAATTTATACGTGTAATATTAAAGTTATTATTACATGATATTAAATTAGCTATTGAACGCTAGTGAACGTTAATAAAAAATAAAATTCCAATAAATTTAAATTAAATTTTGTAAAAAATAAATGAACCTTATTTTTGTTAGTAACGAGTGCATTTAACATTTATTCTATGCACTTATTGTATTTATATTTGCAACTTTCTTATTATGAGATTATTTTTCTAAATATAATTTCTAATAATGTATGCAGGAGGGAATTAAACATAAATTTATTAATTCTTGCGTACAACAGCTTCGTAAATCTATCTTCTAAGCTGATCCTGGTCAAAAAGGTTTGCATAACATTTAGATTTAACCGAGAGAAACGGTGTTCGCGTTCTGCGAATCGACTACGAGAAATGCACAAGCACGGAGCGGCGAATTATTTGCAAATGAATAATCGCTCGTGAGTCAACCGAGAGAGAAACGAGAGAGACGAACGACTTGTGTCGCCGTACATGATTCATGAATTTTGCGCGTTCGTTAAAGCCTTTCTGTAGACGCTGGTACAACGCAGAGGAATGCCAGATTAGATACGTAAGCAACGTTTATGGCGAATGGAATTAGAAGACTGACCGCGCTTATCGGACCCGTACCTTGTTTCCGTTCGAGCTATCGCTTGTTGGAGCCTGGCCGCGCAATTCGAAAAATATTTTTTTAATCGGTTATTGTACTCGAATTGCTTTGTTTGCGTGCTTGACGTTTCTGTCGCACTACACAATCGTTCTGTGAAGTACAGTCTCGATCATAACAATGGCTTGGGATCAATAGCGTCGTCTCGATCAATGATATTGTTGACGATATTTTTAGAAGTGGCATTTTTTATAAAATTTTGAATAGGCCTTTTAATCGCGTGTCTTACAATTAGTCATAAAAGATAGAAATATCGAAATATAATTACACGTAATATTTTTTCCTATTTTTTAAAATCCGTAATTAGCAGATTACAATGCATCAAATATATACGTTCCAAGTTATTTTAAGGAGAGAAAGATGCTTTCTCAAACACATTTATCTCGAAATTGTTCTATGTCTGGGGGGGGGAGGAGGGGGAGGGAGTACTGCAGATATTATCTGTTAAATTGCGAGCAGAATATATAGCACTGCGTTGGAACCTGACCTCATGTAACCTCTCAACTTTGGCTGCGTGTTTCTCGGATACATTCGCCGTTCAGTAGGTTAAGACGCCCGGCACCATAAACATGTTGGCCGCAGTTGGACCGAAGCCCAACCCTCGAAAAGCTTTCTTGTAACGGGATACAGTAGTACGTCGATTCTTGCCGCGAAACGAGGGATGGTTGTTAGACACAAAATCTTCTCCCCCTACCCCCTTAGAAAGAGAGAGGTCTCTCTCTCTCTCTCTCTCTCTCTCTCTCTCTCTCTCTCTCTCTCTCTCTCTCTCTCTCTCTCTCTCTCTCTCTCTCTCTCTCTCTCTCTCTCTCTCTCTCTCTCTCTCTCTCTCTCTCTCTCTCTCTCTCTCTCTCTCTCTCTCTCTCTCTCTCTCTCTCTCTCTCTCTCTCTCTCTCTCTCTCTCTCTCTCTCTCTCTCTCTCTCTCTCTCTCTCTCTCTCTCTCTCTCTCTCTCTCTCTCTCTCTCTCTCTCTCTCTCTCTCTCTCTCTCTCTCTCTCTCTCTCTCTCTCGGGGAGGAGGGGGAGGGAGTACTGCAGATATTATCTGTTAAATTGCGAGCAGAATATATAGCACTGCGTTGGAACCTGACCTCATGTAACCTCTCAACTTTGGCTGCGTGTTTCTCGGATACATTCGCCGTTCAGTAGGTTAAGACGCCCGGCACCATAAACATGTTGGCCGCAGTTGGACCGAAGCCCAACCCTCGAAAAGCTTTCTTGTAACGGGATACAGTAGTACGTCGATTCTTGCCGCGAAACGAGGGATGGTTGTTAGACACAAAATCTTCTCCCCCTTACCCCTCTCTCTTTCTCTCTCTCTCTCTCTCTCTCTCTCGTGTGCGCGCTCGCTGCGCGCATGTTCCAATAAAATGATTCGACTGGTCATTCGGGGCCATTAACATATTAATTCAATTATTCAGTTTAGAACGTTATATTACGTTGATCGATGTTTGTAAACTGTATTGCATTTCTAGCATGAAATGCTACGAGCATATTTAAATAATTTAGCAGAATGAAACGAGACGAGTTTCAACTCTTCACTGATCCGAGTTTTATAGTTAGGAATAAAGTGATATAATAATCCAATACAAAATATCGCGAGCGTGCGGGAAATCGGCGCAAAAAAAAATTGTTCCTCTTAATATCATACAAATCTGTTATAAATATTCCGCTACTGTGTAGAAATTTTTATATACTATTACAATACTTTATGTGGCATTATATTAATTGCAAAATTAATAAGCATAATATATTCTTTATAAATCCCAATCGTATTTATGTTGTTTTAAATAATTAAATAATAATATTGCTGCTGACATATTATTATTTATAACCATAATAAATAACTGTTATTTCATAATATTTGCAATATAAAAAATGCATAAAAATCATATTTCGAAATGATGATCAATACTTTGAAAGCTTGTATTACTGGTCACGATATTCAATAACATCAACACAGTTATAAAATACCTTGTTGAAAGTGTTATGCTTAACAAGACTTATGTCGTTCCTATGTTTTTCTGTAACACAAGTTTTTCTCATTCTATTGTATCATTATCCGCATCTAACAAACAAAGATTAATAACAATGGACGGCACGTCGCCGATATTTAGTACACGTTTCTTTTCTAAGTCTCGCCAGCAGTTTCGACGATCCGTGCCTAGAGCGCAAGAAACGCGCTAAGAATGACGTAATCTCGGTTGCATAATGCTATGGCAAATGGTCGCTGCATATGCGTTCATAGTGCCACTATTCGTGTCAACTATTATTCTTTGAACGACCCTCGGCGCGGCGTCATTGGCCACGCTGCTCATTCGCGTATCCTTGAAACTGGAATTTATGGGACGAGGCCGTATATAGACGCTTATGTGGTCTAGCGTCTAGGATTTCTTTCGATAACGTCGCGTCGACGATTTCGCGAGATAGTAAGCGGTATTAGCCGAGCGAAGCGTATCGAAGGCGCTCGCATCTCCGTCATTGCCGGAAGTGACGGCGATTATTATTATTAACGGCTCCCAACGAAGAGATCCTTAATCTCGTAATCCTATCGTGCACGCCAGATGACTCTCTGGTAAGTCGTGCTGAAAATTTGCACTACAGATTAAACCGACAAAACGCACAGCGACGAAGATGACGACGACTACGACGTATCTAAGCCTCTGAGAATGGTTCTTGATATTTCTCACGATGAAAAAAAATATCTCGTGATTACGGAGAAAATATTGAAGATACAATAATACAAAAATAAAAGATTACAAAATTAGAAGTTACATATATCATTATTTTTAATATATCGTTTCTGTAGATAAGTGTTATGTCATATTTAGAACCACAAACATGTAAATGATTGCATTTGATAACTCTTATTTACGCTTCGATGCTTGAAACGCCTCGAATATTTTCGATTAATGATTGCATCGATCTTATTACATTTTAATGGTTCGTGAAACCGGTGTGCACATATTATTATCTCATAAAGGAGATTGAAGAGAATGTTCTTAGGAACTTAATTCTCGGGACCTTTCTACGCGTAAAGCGCGATGGAGAATGCCGACACGTATAAGGAAGCCGCTATCACCACGGGCGACCCTTATGTCCACGAATTTGGACGCTATAAGTTTGACAAAGCCATCGATTTAAGGAACCCTCTTTCCTCAGCCGATACTAGGATGGGGTGATCGACTGAGAGCTTTTCCGAACGTGCGTGTAAATATTCCCACAAGCGGAGATCTCGACGAAATTAAGAGATATTACGATACACATTCCTCAAGATGATGCATGTTATGTATTATAAGCGGTAAATTCTAAAATGACAATTTTTACGCGTAGATATCGAAAAAATTCTCATTATGAGATCAATTCATATTGAGATACGATTATTATTGATTTTTTTTATATACGACCATGTATATATATATATTTTTTTTTTTCTTTAACTTAATTTTGACTGTATTTATTTTGTTAATATTACTATTATTTTTTTTACGAAATATTAAATACTTTTGAAAGAGAAAAGTTGGATTTAGACATATTCTAAATGTGTATACGCGTGCGCGCGAATATATAATTTGCATAATATTGCAAAACCGTGCTATTTGCTATAGCATATTATTGTACTAACTTCCATTGTATTATATGTTTACAGGAATTTATCTCGAACAATAATTAAAAAAGGAGAAGAAGAACTCCTTTTCTTTTCTCAGACTAAGACAGACTGCCTGAGAGATAAGTCAAGAAACACATCCGGAAAGTAGCACTTTTTTGGGCTGAGGTAAGTTTCCACATAGTGCTCTGTGTGTATTTATGAAAAGGGGAGAGTACTCCAGAGATTTAGAAAAAATCTCAAGATATAGATGCGAAATTTCTTCATGTAACTTTTGAAAGATTTAAATGCATTCTTTTTCTCTTTTGATGTATATTATATTTTTTTATCGATATTTAAAAAAAAATTTGCATATGTAGAACCTTTGTGTATAAGAAATTTATATATATTAGAGATATTTTTTCTTATTTTTCTATGTAATTATTATTTTTTATAAGTGATTATTTATTAAATTTTATACATTTATTTCGAATTACGTTTATCTTATGCTTAAAAGAGAGAAAAAGTGTGTATTACTTGTTTCATTTGTTTTAATAAGAGCGTCAAACATTCTTCATTAATGTACGAAGAGAGCCCTTTGATTTTTGTGACTTCACTTTTCTTCGATGCACATGACTCCTCCTTTATCCCATCATAAGGATCATATCTGATATTCAAACTCACTTGTCAGCTTAAAGTTGAAGTAAAATTATTAATATAAAATTACTTATTGCAAAAAGTATTCTTTTAGTTTTCGAAACGAATATTGTCGTTATTTTTATAAAGAACACAAAAAATATGTCTCTATTATATTAATATCTATAAATCATAATTTTTATATTAATATCAATATACATGTGACTGTGTTTGCTATATTCCAATTCTATTACAAAAACATAGTACAACGTTACACTTAAAGAAACATAAACGTATCTTTTCCATTCGCTTTAATACTGAAATATGGAGCCGAGATAATATATTAGTGATATTTCTGAAGTCGAATCTTTATCCCTCTTATTCGAGTCGTGGCACGCGTTATATATACCACCAAAAGCTTCGTCACACGAAACGTGCCCAGTTTCTCGACCAACAACACGCCCACGCCTACTCTACGATCCTTCATCTTTGTAAGCGAGGGTTAAGTTTAAGGGTAAAGCAAACAACCCTTGAAAGAAGTCGCCTATGGTTTGATCGATGCGCGATTCTTGTACTCGGCCATTCGCTTTCTGAAAAAAATACATCCACCTTTGTGGTAATATAAACAGAAATAAAAGAATATTAAATAATAAATATCATATAATAATAAAAATATTTAAGTATTACAAGTTGTTTATTTTGAAAATGATGCAATCTTTCAAAAAATATTGGGCTTTAATCAGAAATTCTTAATTTTTGTAAGTTTTGGAAAATAGATTTACAGCACTTTACGGTAAAAATAATAACACAATTTGAAAAATAAAATTCCAATAAAATTATTGGAGCTATCATGAAGGAAGAGTTGTATGTCACTCGTCCTTTGTTCAAAATGCTCCATGCTTTTGTTCTTCTTTTACCGATTAGCAAAGATAAAAAATGATAATTCATAGTAATAATCAAACGAAAAAAAAACATGCTTGTTCGATTACATTGATTTTGCTATTCTAGTTCATTTCGTTTACATATCCAATTTAGGAATCGGAACTTTTTCTGAATCTTTTTTTCTGACGTCGCATTAATCCGCTGACAAATGAAATATTCGGATGTTTTATCAGTTATTTCCGTGCTCTCTGGCATTTCGGCGTCTTGTCTCGCTGACCCAGTCCAGCGTTTTTGCTTTGCGAGCTGCGAAACTATTCTTATGTTTTCTCTCGTTATTTTCCATCGTGTTTCGATATAGCGTGTTCGCCACAGTACAGCTACCCTAGGGGATAAACAAATCCCGTCGTTCCGTTACGATCATACATAACGATGCGCACTACTGCCACGAAAGTGAATTAACTTTATATTAGGCCGCGGCGGAAGATCGTCGTTACTTCAACCCCAACACGACCAGTTAGAACCCGTGCCAAACCTTTTTTCGCCCGCGAGAGAAGGAGAGAGAAGAGCACGGAAATTTCTCGGCGGTATAAGATATCTCACGGGATATCGTGCAATGGGAGGAAGCGGGCGTCGGATCTTTTATCTCGACTCGCCGCAAAGACGACCGGTGAGTATAGACTGAAAGGCCCCGGGATGTAGAAGGAGAAAAGGGAGCGCGCCCGGCGGCACGAAATTTCACTTAGGCCCTTGTCGGGGGTGAATTGCGAGGATGAGTCGCTGCGAGTATTCCGGGGTCGAAATCGCGCCAAGGCGTACGTATCGCGCGGTGTGTTTTCCTCGTGTATATCTCAATGCCACGAGAGCGGCACCGAGCCACGTCGAGGAAGGCGAAAAACAAGCCGGCAAGAAAGCGCGCTTTAATGGACGAAACGAGTTTCCAGCCACATGGAGCGCTATTGCTTCCGCCTTATTTTCCGCCCCTTTCGTCAACATCCCTGCATTATGTCATATAACCTCGTTCGTCGGTTTACGCTGAACAACACTGATCACGTCGATCTATCGCATTTCAAGTCACATTCAACTATTGAACTTTTGAAACTTTTATGCGTGTTTGCACTGTCGCCACTTATACAACAAAACAGAAAACGAAAGAGAAAAAGGCAAACCACAGAAAATAAAACACAAGAAATGAAAGACTAATTTCATTTGATTGCAAAATGGATATTCCGCCAACGGTAATCGAACCATATCGGGAATGCAATGGGAAGCCGCCGGATAATGGTACTCGGCGGGAATCGAGAGAGGAACCGCACTCTACTCTGCCGATCGAAAACACATCGGATGGGAGGATCATATGCACCAGCGTGAATATTGATACGCTGATATCGACTGTAATATATTATTCGGAGAGGGACGTGCGCGATAATATTTTACACGCGGCGACTTCATATTTTATGCAAAAGGCTGTAAAACACAAGCGGCCGCGAATAGTTTTTGATGATTCCTCTGCGGGCTGTGTTTTATGGGAAGTCACACTCGCGCGTTAGGATTTTTCGCGCATCTCAGATATCCTTTTTAAACGGAATCGCCGCTTCTTACGGAACATTAAACGAGAATCCGTTCGTAATGAGAATGTGGTCTTGATGGAGTGAAACGCGCTTTCTGTGTTACGCAGTGGAATTTTGCATAAAGAATCCCTGCAGAAATTTTCAGTTTGTTTTTGTATACTTTTCGCGGTAAACATTGCATGGGCATACTTTTCACTTTTGCCTTTGTGAAGGCTACTATATATCCAACTTGACTACATGGGTTAATATCTCTCGAATCTTATTCGAGCGAAATTTTCGGCGTACTTCTCGCTACTGCTTTGTCCGTCATTAATAAATACAGACCATATTAATCAAGCATCTCTCAGACACGCAATGTATATTTATGTTTCGAAACGTACTGATTGACATGTAGTTAGTAACGCGGACAACGAGCACACTTGAATGATATTCATGTAGCATGACTGTCACTTATCAACGCATCGCGAAAGGAGGATCAGCTTAATGATCGAGTGACTGGACCGTACGATGAATTACCCATCGCTCGGAGAAGGAAACCGAACACGTTCTAGATAAATTAAGATTGAAAGATCGCAATCTTTAGCGACATTAAACTTCAAGTATTTATGATTGTTGCAACAATGATCGAATACTGCAATATATTTTTTAAAAACCTGCTCCGAATGTCAATATAAATATAAATCATAATATTAATTGTTTATCTATTAATATATTCAAAAACTTTTGTCGATTAATTCCTGTGCCATAAATGTGTATAAATATATTTTTATTTAATATTTTCTTTGCAAATCATATTTATGATCATATAAAAAAAGTTTAAGATAACTGATTAAGATAACTTGATTTTAAGATATTTTCCTTGGAAACATCTTTTTTTGAGATATTACGAATGACTCTAATCTAACACCAAAATTTATCACATAATTTTACAAACATGTAAAGATATTACAAAATTTCTTGTTTTGTAATTAGAAATAAATTTCTTGTAATTCGTCTAATGTATTATAGTTTCGCAATTGCAATATAAAGCCTTGCAACATGCCGGGCAAGATGAACGGACGGAAAGGGGATACAAAAAATGGCGAAATAGATAAAGGGAATTTTTCTTCATGCACCGGAAGGAGTACACCGCTAACAGAGTTCGAAAGAGTTAAACTTTATCGCTACCGGAGAGGAAGTGAGAGAATGAAAGACGGAGAGGAGAGAGTGCCCCGAGGACGAGGATTCCTCCTGACTCTCGGAGCTAACTCTCTTTGTTCCAATTATCGCAACCCCATCCCCGACTAGACGAGCTTGCCCACCGACGCGATTTGACCTTTTCCGCTTCCGGTTAACCGCACGCTATAGCCGGTTATTCTTCTCTCTAGCGACACGATTTTTACTGGTGCTCAGGTGCCCTTGCTTCCATTCGCGGTCTCATAAAATGTTAACGTACATTTGCAATGTGTAAGAATTTCCGACAAATTGTCTTTTACAACATCCCGCTGTGTTCCTTTGTTCATTAACGCGTAGCCTGATCATAATAAAAAGCTCTTAATTAATTAGCAACTACACGCATAGGATTGTATAAAATATAACCGAGCTTTTTAAATGTACAATAAATTCATGTAACGTCACGCTCTTTTATTAATTCTTTACACCATAAAATTTTTATTTATATGAAATGAATATTTTGACTATAAAAATTTGAAAGATTAGAGAAATTCTTTGGCTCATATAATATCCACAATTTTAATGATATTTTTTTATGACTTTATTCAAGAAAGCTTTAATAGATGACGAATGGCGCGCATTTATATCTGCAATTTAATATTGACGAATTAAGATTGCAACAATGCATTTTCCTTGACATGTTGAAATTTTACGCTTCTAACGTGAGAAATTATCTTGATACGAAGGATTGCTGGAGAGTGGTTCAAAAACAAGCAATCTGACGTATATATTCGGATCGGTTTACTTCGGGTATGTCGGGCACTTAAAAAACATCCTTCGTAGGGTGGTTCCGGGCAAGCGTTTAGCTGGTTTGAAAAGGATGGTTCGAACCGCCGGCGAATAGGTAGTGGATTCGGTGAGTCGACGATGGTAAGCGGAAGGGAGAAGACG